TTGAGTAATCAGTTTTAAAAATGTGATATTTCATGTAAATAATGCATGTGTTTAATAGGATTGATATATTTGCGATGGGCCTTGTTTGTATGATTTAAGTTATTTTGAAGGTGCATAGTGTCATTGTAAGTGAAGTTATTATAAAACTGTTAAGCTACATTTTCACTGTTTACAATGGCAGAGCCATCTCGTTTACAAGCATGTTTTAAGGCTTAATTCCTGTTACACTTATGCTCCATGGGGATTTAGATTAAACTGCATAAGTAGTAGTAGTAGTAGTAATCTTTATTTATATACCGCCTTTTCACTGCACATCGGAGTCTCAAAGCGGTTTACACTTGTTATTTTTGGATAACAAAAAGCATAAAGGAAAATCTATTTCTTTGTCAGTTGTAGTTTGTTTTTAAATAGAAAAAAATAAATCGATTAAAATCGAAAATCGGATTTGGTGTGAAAAAATCGGAGATTTTTTTTTTTTGCCATATCGCCCAGCCCTAGGTCTGTCAATGCTATATGTTAGCATTGGCTAATTCTTCTTCTGGGTCCACCCCCATCGGCCGGGGTGGTATTGCAAGCATGTCAGCGCACGTCCTTTTGGCCACTTTTGAGCTGGGACCAGCCCCCACTGATCTCAACGCTAGATGGCACTAAATATTACACAGTGTACCTTTAAATTAATTGTAAATAAAATATTTCTTACTCCTGGCTGGCTCGCCATTTTTCGCACTGCTAAAGTCACTTTAAAAATGTACATAAAATATTTTCGACTCCTGGTTCGCTCGCCACTTTTCACACTGCTATAGTCACTTTACATTAATTATACATAAAATATTTTTGACTCCTGGCTGGCTCGCCAGTTTTTTTACACTGCTATTGTCACTTTTGATGTAATTGTACATTTAATATTTTCCACTCCTGGCTGGCTCGCCACTTTTCACACTGCTATAGCCACTTTAAAATTGTACATAAAATATTTTTGACTCCTGGCTGGCTCGCCATTTTTTTTGCACTGCTATAGTCACTTAATTTAATTGTACACGTTTTAACAGGTTTGCACTATTACTGTTTTTTGCACACCCTGAGTGAAACTATTTATGCCAAATGTGACATCAATAAAGATCAATAAAGTTTATCTTAAATGATCATATACACATATCACACATCACACACACGCACACGGAGGCATAGGTCCCACTGGACAGTTGTTAGCAAATAAAATTAAAAAAGTCATTCCAGGCGATTGCTGTTGTGATTTAGGGCTTCATAAAGAAAATAAATAGGGTTGAAATGTATAATTTGAAACAAAGTGACCTCTATTATGCAAAGTTAGAGATATTGTACTTACTTCTCTTTATTCTTGCTTCTTCACTATACAAAAGTTGGAGATTTTAGACTTGTCTCTTTATTATCCTAAATGTAGAGTTTTTTCTTTTTTTTTAGTATAGAGCATATTGTATCTTAAATTGCGCTGTGTGCTCCTCATTCCTACTGATCCGTAACTGGTGATGCAACACTGACATTTCCCCACTGTGGGACATATAAGTATCTCTTAATCTTAATATTTAAAATCTATCAGCTTTAGAAACCATTATAAGTAGACTGACAACAGACATTTTCAAAGCAGATGGCACACGTTCAGCCACTGGACCAGACTCAGCTATGTGCAGTAAAGGAAACCAAATATATAAAATGTACAAGTGTTTATCATTAGTTTTACACAGTCTCTGCATCATGGAAAGATGCCTCAGTAAAGAGCAGTGCTGGAAGGGCGTCACTCCCCGGGGCTTTTCTCTGCTCAAGACGAACAAATCAAAACACGCAGCTCTGTTTATGTCACTACAGAATAAAGAATGTAAACCCACAGTCCCCAGTGCGCACCGTAACCAAGCACCAGTTTGTGGAGATCATTTATTTGAACTGTTTCTATTATTGTAAGTGAATGTATCATTGCTTTCTCAGACAAAAACCTGTTTTGGTCCAACACTTAAACTGTATAAAGATGTGCGCTGACCTCCTAGCTTAATGAAGCCCAGTTTAGGGAGTGCTTGTGGATGAGGTTTTGCTCCATCTCGCTCTGCTCCTATTGACTTACATTGAAAAGTATAAAACCTATTGTGTCTAGAGCAGACTTGGAGATTCTTATGCTGCATTCTTGTCTATAGTTTGGACTTCTCTAACATCCCTCACAATGGACTCTCCAAACAAGCTCTAAAAGAGCTGCAGTATATTCAAAACACTGCAGCTCGAGTCTTGACTAGAGCCAGGAAGTATGATCACATTAGTCTAGTTCTCAGGTCTCTGCACTGGCTTCCTGTGGCTCAGAGAATAGACTTTAAAGCAGCTCTACTTGTACAAGTCTCTCCATGGCCTTGAACCCGAAGTACATCTGAGACAGAACAACAAGCCTGCTCCAGTTTCCCCTACCACTAAAAACATGTACAATAGGTATGACTGTAAAAGAGTGAATGACTGAATGGATGGTGTTCGGCGTACTGCTTCCGTCATCACTGTGTGTGAGACGAAAAATGTCCATTGTGGTTTCTGAACATTGTAAAGCGACCTTGGGTGACCTTGGTCTGTAAAATGTGCCATATAAATAAACATTACTTACTTACTTACATGTTAGTGCTGCATGAACCAACTCAGACTCCGAGGAGCACAGGGACTGGCCTCCTGCTGGGAGCAGCCTCCTGCTGGTGGCTGAGTGGATAGCACTCTCGCCTCTCAGCAAGAAGGTCCTGGGTTCGAATCCCGGCCGGACCAGGGCCTTTCTGAGTGGAGTTTGCATGTTCTCCCCGTGTCTGCGTAAGTTTCCTCCGGGTACTCCGGTTTCCCCTACCACTAAAAATATGTACAATAGGTCTGGCATGCGCCTCCTGTTCGGCGACCCCACTCCCATCTCTGTGTGGAGTGAGAGGACAAGTGCCCAAAAAAATAACAATTGTAAACCGCTTTGTGACTCTGGTCTGTGAAAGGCGGTATATAAATAAAAGCTTACTTACTTACTCTGAGGAACACAGGGACTGGCCTCCTGCTGGGACTCTGAGGAACACAGGGACTGGCCTCCTGCTGGGACTCTGAGGAGCACAGGGACTGGCCTCCTGCTGGGACTCTGAGGAGCACAGGGACTGGCTTCCAAACACAAAACAAAACATTGGGAAGCAGCATTTCAAATTTATGTAGCTGAAATCTGCGACAGTCTTCCAGAAATAGGCATCTACTCAAATATTCAAATCCAGGTAAAAAAAAAAAAATTTCTGTTTAGCTGTGCAGAGAACTGAAGGATTATCTTCAGTCTTTTTAGTGTACTGTGATTGCCTCATGTGGTTGTTTCTATTCTGTTTTGTTCAGCATTTTGAGTTGCCTTGTGTAACTGTGTGATTAAAAGTTACCGTTAGCATTGCCGCTCTCATACATACTTGTCGGATTGCATCATTGTCATTTGGGCTCGCCGTGAACAGAGACCTGCCACTCACCCTCCAGCCTGCAGTTACTCAAACCAAAGGAGACTGGGAGCGTCCCGAGCCGGGCGAGGTGGAGAGAGAACCTTTGCTCCACTACACACGGCGCCTGTGTGAGCGGAGGCCCTCATTAGACGCTACTGGGCCTGGAATTCTTACATAACAAATCAAATGTGGGCACTAAAGAATGCAGCAGGATGCCCCACCATGTTCCAGGAATGCCTTTATTGACATTATAGAGCTGAGCAAAGTTTAGTGGGATAAGGCAGTGTTTTTCAACCAGTGGGCCTTGGGTTGTTAGTGTTCTGTGAGATATTGTTTGATTCAAGTTGATCCAATGTCACCAAATTGATCAGATTTGTATGGTCACTTTTTGTTACTTTCTTCGTGGAGATCTGACTTAGACGAGACTGTGGCTGTAGTTGTGCTTATGTGCCTCTTGTTCTGTATTATTTCATAGCATTTTATTGTATTGTAACATTTATTTTTGCTTCAGCCCAGTCCCTTTGAGCAGAATTCAATACTGTTCAATACAAACAAACAAAGGAATACATAGATAAAATGATAGAATAATAACAATTTTGTGAGAAGATTTTGAAGACTTTTTTGCACTGGTTGGATTTCTATAGAATACACAGTGATGAGAATGACTTTGCCTTGGTAATAAAAGCTACAAAGGTTTTTGTAAGTGTTATCAAGGCAAAGGGTGTGCCATGGCTCAAAAAAGGTTGGGGGAAACTGGGTTATTGCAAAAAATATAAAATATGAAGTAATAATTGCATGAATCTAGTGGGGTTTTTTTAAAGTCTTGATTTAAGTTAATTCTGACCGTCTTAAAACAAGATTTTCCAATGGGACAAAGCCATTTAGTCTTATCGCAAGAACTATTGCTTATTTTCTTGTATTTTTTTTTTAAACAAGATCATTTTGCTTCTCTGTTTTTTTCATCACTTTTAGCTCGCACCTTCACCACTCCAGCTCTTGGTCCAGTCATATACAAGACATGATTGCAGTTACTTTTTTGGATCTTTCAGTAGACTTTGTTGGCAGTTATCTTAAAACTAAACATGGTTATTACAACGCTAATGCTAATTTTCAACTCCTGTCCCTGGTTGAGCTTTGATAGACACAGATGTATAGTATATATTTATTCATTCATTTACATTTTTATGTATATAATTCCCACTGTTCTCTAATTTGTGATGCAACACTGAAATTTCCCCACTGTGGGATAAATAAAGGAAGTCTACAAATACAGGTTGATTGATTAATTGATTTATGTATCAAAGATCATAAGTAACCTAGGCCACTAAAAGTAAAGCAACTTCAACAACTTTTGAATAACTAATTAATTATATGTACCAAATCCTAGGCCTGCGACAATAAACTATTAACCAACGTTTGAACTGTAAGAAACTGACCCAACACTGAAGGACAACCCGGCACAAGGAAACAATAAACTAGCCCACTTTCTCTACCGGCTTTTACTCCTCAATTAAAGAACTCGACTTGATCCTGGCTGTGTTTACACTCTGCGTCATGCCAACTGCCTCAAACAGCGTGCCCAGTGTGTCCTGGAATGTGGCTCTTTTGGCACAGTTCCCAGGCGCACACCGAAGAGCGGCCAATCCAAAGGTCCCGAGGCCACACTGCAGAAAAGTCATAAAATATGAAGTAATAAACGCTCAAATCTTTATTTCTTTTTATTTTAATTTGAGAACATTCTGACTGTCTTAAAATAAGCTTTGCCAATAGGACAAAGCCAGATAAGCATATAGTCTTATATCAAGAACTTTTTTTTCTCAATCCAAGGAAGACATTTTTTGCATCTTCTTAAAGCAGGATATTTCTGCTTGACCCATTGGCAAATCTTAAGATGGATCTCACACTGGAGAATTTTACATGTCACATTTGGCATAGATAGAATTACTTAGATTGTGCAAAAGACAGTGTACAAACATGTTAAAGGTTAAAAGAAAAAGTTAAAGTCTGTGCAGATATATTATGTACAATAAAAAGTGGCAAATAAAAAAAGAGAAAATATCTTGTTTTAAGGCAGTCAAAACGTGCTTAAATTAAGACATATTTTGTTAAATTTGAGCAATATTTTACTGATTTTTCATTCCTTTTTTTCAGTGCAACCAGTGGATCCAACCTGCTCCCACTCCCAACGGGGAAACAATGAAAAACCCTCCCCTCCCATTAAACGACAAGTGGGACAGGGACATACGCAAAGCACGGCAGGCATGTGGCTCCGAGGCGCTGCCAGGGAATGTGCATCAGAGCGAGCAACAATCATGGGAACACCAGCTTTATCTGCCGAGGAAGTGCACAACACAGAGTTTGCACGACAGCTCTGGAAGGAAGGTGCAGGTCAGGAGAGTGGACAACATGGTAGAGGATAGATATGAGTGACACGGGTGCAAATCAGTCACCTGGGCTGTTTTATGAATGATAGAATTGAAGATTTGAGATTTAATTGAAACACAGAAAGAAAATGTAGCTTTGTAGATCCCCTGATTGTAGATTTGAGAACTGCACTGCAAAAAAAAAGATAAATAGTGAGGTGTAAATGTTTGAATCAAGTGCGTTTTTTTTTTCATCTTAATCTGAGTACAGTCTGACTGTTTGAAAATAAGATTAGCCAATGGACATTTAGTCTTTTCAAATTTAGACAATTCTTGAAATAATTTATCATTATTTCAAGAATTTTTGCGTTATTTTAAGAAGGTCCTTTATTCGTCCCACAATCGGGAAATTTCAGTTTGATGCACATACACATGAACATACACATACACATACACATACACATACACATACACATGCACATGCACATGCACATGCACATGCACATGCACATGCACATGCACATGCACATGCACATGCACATGCACATGCACATGCACATGCACATGCACATGCACATGCACATGCACATGCACATGCACATGCACATGCACATGCACATGCACATGCACATGCACATACATGCATGCACATGCACATGCACATGCACATGCACATGCACATGCACATGCACATGCACATGCACATGCACATGCACATGCACATGCACATGCACATGCACATGCACATACACATGCACACGCACTTACACATGCACACGCACATGCACATGCACATGCACATGCACATACACATATAAACATCAAGGCAAGGGGCGAACATCACTTCCACGCTCCTCATAGGCCAAGTGGGTTAAGTGTGTTGCCCAAGGACACAACGGCAGCGGACATCAGTGGAGTCAGTGGAGAAGGTCTCATGGTGAGCTAGAACCCACGACCTTCGGGCACAAAGGCTCTACTAAGTGAGCCACTGTCACCTCATGTTCTCATTCCAAGGGAGACATTTCCTGTATTAAAATCAGATAATTTTGCTTTGTCCCATCGACAAATCTTGTTTCAAATATATTTTTCAGAATTTGAGAATTTTTTGGCTTGTTTTTCATCACTTTTTGCAGTGTGGACTGTCTGATTGAACGAGGGATTCAAACATATTCATTCACTACTTGAGCAACTACAACTACTTTATTTCAAATTAAGTAGTGGTGGAAGAAATGACCCAAGAATGAAAGTGAAAGAACAGAGGGGAAAATACTGCTGTGTTTGTTGGAGGCTAAACTACACGTCTGCACACACTGGCATTCTTCACCTATGTACCTTTGTTGTGTCAGATGGGAGACCTGTGCTGCTGCTGGCTTTCTCCTCCTTCCAGGATCCAGCAAATGGGAGAGCTGATTTTAACTGGCAGCACCTGGAGAGGAGTCTCCCTCACTTCGCAGTAGCAGCCTTTTAAATAAAAATCTTATATTGGTACAGTTTTCAACATATGTGAACTACATTTTTGTCCGAACCTCGAGCCAGTTAGTAGACAAGAGAGGTCCTGGGTTCAAATGCCGGACGAGCCCCCATTTGGCACGAACTAGCTAGAGGTTCTAACAAAAATGGAGTTCATAAATGTTTAAAACTGCACATAAATATATAAATTTAAACTTGCTGGGAGCCTTTAGAATGTGGCCGGTCCCACCCATCTCCAGTCCATATCAGCTCTCCCATTGGCTGGATCCTGGAATGAGGAGAAAGCCAGCAGCAGCACAAACCACACAACACTGGGTCGTCACAAAAGACCGCATCTGTCCTGAGAAACTGTTGTTGTGTCCTTTGGCAAGACACTTTATCCACACTGCCTGGAGAGAGTGTGGTGTGTGGATGCTCTGAGGCTGATGGCACAGATTTTTGTTCTCACTTCTGTTAGTCTGGTCCCAAGGTGCTTCACAATAAGGTCCTGGATTCGTTTCCAGCTCTCCCGGTGTCAGGTTAGATTTCCTCCAGGTGCTCCGGTTTGCCCTATCACAAAAAACATGTACAAAAGGTCTGAATGTAATGAGAGAGTGAGTGGTTGGAGGCTCAATAGACCAATCTTACTTCTGTAATCATTGTGAGCAGCGAATACAGAACATATCTTGCTCTTTGTGTGGCTCTTTGTGTGGCTTTCGCGTTTTGAGAGAGAGAGAGAGAATGCGCTATATGAATAAAGATTACTTACTCACTTACTCTCACCACTGTGTCTGTGAATGAATGGTGTGATGAGAAGCGCAATAGAACAATCATGTGGTTTGGAAATGTTTCTTCCTCTGCTTCTCAGACACACATCGATAAACTTGTCATCAGAATTCTCACAACAACGATCCGTGAGATAAAGGGAATTCCTCAGACAAATACTTCACATTCACTGATCAGACGATACTGTGAGACGATACTGTGAGAGACTGTGAAAGTATACAATGTTCCATGTTTTTACTGCTCTGTATGAGTTGGGTTCAGGTGCAGAAAAACACTTACAACAGTCTGAATATATGCATGTAGATGATCACAGTGCATTCAAAAGAGTGAATCCTTCAGTTGTATGCACAGCTGAACAGAACTGTTCTTAACCTGGGTTTGAACATTGTCAGAGAACAAGCCTGTTTCACATTTGGAAAAAAAAATGAATACAAAATGTGCACTTTATTCATACTTTTGAATATGCTGGAAATACAGTCTTTGTACAGCAGTAGGATATGAGCCGCCAAGGTGTGAAAGCACGACCTCTGATGGCTGTTTTGAACCGTAAGAGCCATATGGACTTTTTCAAGACCTTCTTTCATTTCTGTTTGTTTTAAGTTTCTATGTCTGTAAAATGATGCAAGTGTTAGAAATAAATATAATAACTATAAGTGTTATAATAAGTAAGGTTCAGTAATATTATGACAACTCTTCTGTTGATGAAGTCACGTACAGTGGTGCTATTAGGAAATAATTTATGTGCAAACTTTGGTGAAATATGAGCATAGAATCAATAATAAAAGTCCATCTCAATACTTAAACACCCTTTGTTGGCACTGTTTTTCACACGCTGGTATTTTGACCCATTACCTAGTATTTTGTTTTGTTGTATTACAGTTATATTAACCAGTTTTAGCACGCATTGAATATTTTTTTTTTTTAAATTCAACTTTATTTATTGACCATTTTAACAATAATAGACATACAGCGTCAAGTAAAAAGGTGAAGTAGAAAACAGACAATACCGCCGAATGTCAACCTCGGCGTCCACCCACCCCCTACCCGGGCCACGAAATAAGACAAAATAAAAATTACACATAAAATAAAATAAAATAAAAAGACTTCTGACACAGACACACTCACAAACATACAAACACAAAGGGGAAAAATATGAATTGGAAAAGCAAAATAAAAACGTATTCCCCCAGTTGCAATTTAATCCTCCTCCAGGTCATGAGGAAACGTCGTAGAGTTAATAAAGTTAATAAAAGGTTTCATGAAATGTTTTGACTGAGCCCTTTAGTGAGAAACGCATTGAATATTATAGAAAGCCATATGAATTACTCAATTCTAATAAAAGCAGCAAAAACTAAAACTGTTTTTTTAGAGGGGATTTTTTCAGAATTTCTTTGATTTGAATTTGAGCCGTCAAAACGACTGCTATGGGAAATATAATAGTTCCAGAATTATGGCAACCCTCGTGTTAAAAATCTCCAATGACGAAAGTGTTTGGATTTATAGGATTTAAACGATTCCACAGTTTGGGAGCAGTGATGTAAGATAACCTAAGCTAACCTAATGCAAAACATAATATTTGGTGTCATCAGTGATTGAGCAACTATGTTTCTTTAGTGGTGTGTTAAATGATGTAAGTCTCGCTTTTACAAGAATTTGAGAGCAAAAAGTCAGACGTGTCAAACAATGTTATGATTGTGAATTCTCAGCAGATGGGACGCATACTTTTGGTGCAGTGTGATTTGTGAAGGGTCAAAAGTCTCCAGAAAGATATGTGTAAAATTTAATTAAGAGATTAAGATTAGGAGATCTTTTATTCGTCCCACAGTGGGGAAATTTCAGGGTTGCGTCACCGGTTACAGAGCTGTAGGAATGAGGAGCACACAGCACAAGATAAATGAACAACAACTCTATAAATGAAAATAAAATCTATCTTTTAGAAGCAGTTTACAATCTACAGCCTTAGCAACTTTACCATGAAGAAGCAAGAATGGGCTATATGCACGGGGGCGTGACGTAATTTTCCAAAGATCAGCCCGTTCACTTCCTGCCTGTGCTATCCTATGGCTTTTAGGTGGGTTTTAGTGACGTTTTTTAGTAATTAGATTGATACATTCAGCTGTGAGACTGACCCAAAAGTGTCGCTGTGCTTTCTCTCTGAGGTACAGCTTTGACTGTGGCCACTCAGAGCGATTTGTAAACTTTATCAAAACACAATGACAGCACAATCAAAGAGCACTGCTGTGTCCCAAAAATGTCCAGTATCCTCACAGCTTAATTCCCGTTTGAGCATTATTTGGGAAACCCGTGTAAACCACTGCTGAACTCCAGTGAAACTCAAGCCGTGGGGTAGAAGCTAAAACGCGGAAGTGGTGCGTGCATAGAGCCTATTAAGTTCAAAATCTCTGACTTTAGCAAAATGATGACGTAAGTAGGTAAAAAAAATCAGCTTTAGCCTAATAAAGAGGCAAGTACAAAAATACTGTATATTTTAGTGCAGTAAATAAATTTATACTGTAACTGTACAAAGTGACTGTGGATAGAAGAATGCTAAGGTGAAGAAATTATGATTAGTGGACATTTTTAGTTTTGTGTGTCCTTTTTTCCCTTTTGTCCTTGCTTTTTGACTTTTTTGTTATGCTTATATTTTAGTTGTATTGACCTTAAAATAATCTATATTCTATATGGTTCTATATTGCACATTCTGACTTTAGTTCAGGTTATTGCACGGATGCACGACATGTGAGGTCAAGTGTTTATTAGTCCTCATTGTTCGTTGCACAGTCTGACAGCGTTCGTTTCATTAGCTAGAATCATTTCTGTTGAATATTCAAAGAAAGTCTAAAGTCTTCCTGGAATCGGACTATTCCCTCTCCTTCTTCTCTTCCCCTGGACTCGGCCTCTTTAAGGAATCTTCCCAAACTCCCCATAGGGCCGAGGAATGCTGCCCAGAGAAATACCTTTGCGCTGCATCAAAACGTGTCATTGAAATGTCAGAGGTAGACTGTGCAAAAACAACCAATTTGTGATTACAAGTTTGAAGAATTGGATAGAAATATGATATGGAATGCGGTCTGCAATGTTAACTCCATGCTTGAACCCAAAACTAGAATTCCATGCAGGACCTTTGCCATGTTTTGAGTTTTCTTCCAAATCCTAATATTAATAAGACTTGATTGAATTTGATTGATGTGAACTGTTTATACTTACAGAATTTTATACTTATTATGCTTAAGTCAGGGTTTTTTGTACTTAAGTCTTGCTTCTTCATCATGTTAAAGTTGGATCTTTTCATCTGAATCTTAATCCATAACGCTTTAACCTTTCATGGCCTCACTGTTTTTAGCGTGTACAATTGCTTTACATTGTTGTATTTTTATTTTTTATTTTTATTTTTTTACAGTGTGCTTCTCACTATTACTGATACCTTTTTAGGTTCCGTGTTCAGAACAAAATGAATTTGGTTGTTTGTTTGACAATAATATCTTTAAAATGAGGCCTTGGTATCACAAAATTAAATTACAAAGTTGGGCATTGACTCCTGAAATAGATAGATACTAGATAGTTCCATTACGCTTCAACCCTTCAGAACACAATTTCACATTTCTTTTTCACTATTACAGATTTGAAAAGGATGAACCGGACACATTTTCCCCCCCAACCCCCTCTCACCCATTCAACAGAATAATCCACAGAATACAACACAATTAATCAACACACATAACAGCACATATAGATATAAATAATTAAGCAACAGAAGTGTCCGGGGGCCGTATGGAAATGTGAATCAGACCGCATGTAGCCCCCAGCCCAGAGTTTACCCAGGTCTGGTCTTGAGACATTAAGATTAAGCTTTTTTTCCTCCCACACTGGGGAAATGTCAATGTTGCTGATAACTGCTATGTTTCTTAGCTAGTGTTAAATGCCAGCTAAGAAACATAGCACCTACAAAGATAAATGAATACTAACTCAATACTAAAATAAAAATCTCTAACTTTAGCATATAAATAAGCAGTATAACATCTCAATCTTTAGTATAATAAGTAAAGACATCTAAAACCTCCAACTTTAGCATGATGAGAAAGAAACTAGTGCAAGTAATTGTTGCATGTATACAGGTGCATGTAGCAGCATGCACTAAAGAATACAAGTTTTAACTAATAAGAAAGTGCCTTGGGTTTTCATATTTGAATACATTGACAATCACCTCATCTACTGACTTCCATTACTACAATTGAGGCCAGAAGCGTCCCTCTTCTACCTTTTCTTCTGCATTTTAACAATGGCTGACTTTTTCTCTCCACAGTGATATTGCATGGAAAATCTACCAGTCCCCGTTGGCACGTTCCTTTCTCCACATGCTCAATATTCACTTTCCTAAACTTCTCAATTATAAGGATGAAGCTGGAATGACGGAATTGGCACACGCCGCACATTCCTGGCCCCAGTCCCTGCAGACACTGGTTAAAAATGCACATATGTGGAGTTTCTCAAACCTTCTCTCCTCACTGGACGTTCGTTTAAATTGAGGTTGAATTCCAGGCAACTTGAAAAATGGAGCATCAGTGAAACTCCCCTGTTATGGAGAGTGTTGAAAAGAAGGGAGAGTTAATCTGTTTGGAATGGAATTTAGCAGCAGCTTGATGAGTTATGTACGGTCAAACATGTTATAAGTGGAGTTGAGACCATTATTAAAGTTCTTTAGACCAGAGACCATTGATAAAGGTCTTAGATTTATAGAGACAGATGGAGGAAGATGAAGACAGTTTACCCACACTCTGTAAGCCTTTAGACAACAACACTGACTTATGGCACTGAAAATGAAAGAAAGTGAAATGCATCCTATCTCAGAGGTTCCCAAAGGAGAGGCCGTGCGACAGAGGCTGGGGGTCACTAGATATTTAAACAACTACATTATATCTAAGCAAATTGGGCGACAGTAGCTCAGTTGGTAGAGCACTGGCCTTTGAACCTGAAGGTCGAGGGTTCAAGCCCACCACGGGACCTTCTCCACCGACTCCCACTGATGACTGCTGTCGTTGTGTCCTTGGGCAAGACACTTGCTTCAGGCAATGCAGGGTTCTGCATTGCCTGAAGCCCCCGCTGAAAAATCAAGGCCGTATTGTCACTGACAGAGCAGCCGTCCTCCTGTGGACTCACCACCTGCAGAGGATCAGTGAGGGGCTGGTGCCAAGTGAATTGGGTGCAGCTCTGACTGCCACCCCCCCGACCCAGAAATGGATTAAGGGGAAGAAGATGGATGGATGGATGGATTATATCTAGCATTATTCAAGCTGATAGTTAGTAACAATTTCTGCCTCAATGAATGGATAAATCAATTGTGCCTTGATGTGAAAGAAGCCAATTTGAACATCAGCTAGTTGGAGCCAATTTCCTCCTATGGCAGTTTCTTCCATGCCGCACAGTAACAGGGACAGACATATTTCTAAGATCTGGATATACAAAGAAATTATCACAATAAAACCCCCAAAATTATAGAGAGTTAGACATCAACAGTTACTGAGCTCGAGGAGCTTACTCATGATGTGGGTCAACAGGAGCCAGAGTGAGCTGGAGCAAGACTTTGTCCATGAGCACTTCCCTTCATGCCTGGCTCAATGGCCTCATTGAGCCAGGCAGTTACCATTGTCCGTCTATACCCAGTCTTTGATTGTAATGCAACAACTACATGAGTTACTCCAACACAACAGGCCAATTCTACTGGTATTACAAAGAGACTAAGGCAAATGAGGTCATTGATGAAGTTAATTAGTGAATGCTGTGAAGTTACAGACATTGATGTAATGAAAGAGGAAGCAGAGGATGATTCTTCCGACAGACTTGTAATTATCATTAACAGAAGACGTGTTTAACACTTCTATGAGTCTGACGCTGGTGACGGACTCGCACCACAGCAGTAAATGACACGTCTCTGCTCAGGTCTCTGGTGTCACCAACCTCTATGCAAAGAATCTCAGAGATTTCAGTCGAAAGCTTGACTCTGGAGAGGGAATAGATCAAACTGCTGTCAGACTGTACAATGAGAACTGCTGAGCCTATACATGTCATATCATCCATAAATACTGCAATTTACGAATGTCCTCTGAATGTCACTTTATCTACTTTCTTTATCCTCCCTAGATACAGTAGATATTTACAGAGCTCTTAGAATAATCAATGACTCTTCTGGCCCTGAAAAAGCCATGTTCCAGCTTCTTCCCTCTGGCAGATGATATTGCTAAGATGCAGGACATCTATGCAAACAGCTGTTATCAGTCTGAATAAAGCACTTTAATGATCTTTCCTTAGCACTTTGATTTCACAGTGATAATAGTTTCTTGTACTTTTTAGCTTGTTTTATTTATGTACTTATCTGGTGCTCACTGAGGTACGTTTGCACATATTCCAAAATGGTTTGACTACAAATGGCAAATAAACTGAATCTGAATCTAATTTATGAAACAAAAAGGTGAGGTAGAATACTGCTTCTGGTTTTCCTCACAGAGAGATAGCTTTGCTGGTACGTTTTCTGCGTAATTGGAACCATAAATTATTCTCTGTGCCCAAGACTGAACGTAATCCCCTAAAAATGCACGAGTGAATGTTTTTTTCGTCTGTGTTTTTCCATTTTAAGAGCTGAAAACATGGGAGGTATGTGGCACATCTTTTCCAGGTGATGTATCGTTCTGGTCGACAGTTGTTCAAAGAATGTAATCAGTGAGATCTGATTCAAAACACACAAAACCTTTGTCTAGAAACGCCACCTCCAATCACTGTGAGGGTAAAACTAACTCATGATGGAATTTATGCTGAAGTTTAGTGGAAATTACGTGACTTTCTTCTCAAGTTTTCACAAGACCACAGGATATCTGCTCAGTATTTGTTGTTGTATTTTAATATGCTTTTAACTAGCTTTGCCAGGAACGGAATGAAACGGAACACAGACAGGTCCTGCACTGAAAAAAGTGATTAAAATAAATCAAAAACACACACTGTGTCTTGTCTGTCTTATTGTATCTGTATTTGTTTGTACGTCTGCACTTGTATTGTATGCCTATATTTTCACAAATAAAAATAAAACATAAAAAAACCGTCTCAAATTTGGCAAAAAGTATATTAATTTGAGTACATATTGATTGTATTAAAAGAAATGTCTCCCTTGGAATGAGGAAATAGAGCTCTTGAACTAAAACTAAATGGCAATGTGTAAGTTATGACACTGAGGGACATTCCAAGCAGAGAAAAAACACCTCTAGATTAAGAAGCGGGAAGGCCATTTCAAACCAAGATAGACAAAATCATCAACCATTCCATTGTCATAAATATTTAGATAGTAGTCTGCTGTTTATTGATATCAAATTGAAGATGTCTTAAAATGCTGTGTATATGAGCCACACCAACATAACAAAGCCCATATCATGTCCCAAAAGTTCATCTCTTGTGTTTCTTTAAGTGACTTTTCCTGAGCTTTCTCCGTTTCGGTCACAAATCAGCGTTTGTAGCAGCGGCAGAGTCGGGCATATATTTTGACACAGTCCTGGTGTTGTTGTCCGTCATGTTTTGGATGTGAGAGTCAAGTATCTGCAGAAGTTCTCCGGACCGCAGGCTCTCCTCCTCCAGGAACCGGCACACCACGCTCTCAGAGGGAGACGAGGGCATCGAGTCCTGGGGAACACACAATGTGAATGGATTTGAATATGTATTTGTACTGCTTCTACAACTAGGCTGTACAACTCGTTACAGAGACCAGAACGACCAGGGCAAGACCAAAGACCAGAGAGAGAGACCACAGAGAGACCAGAGAGAGAAAGACCAGAGAGAGAAAGACCAGAGAGCGAGACCACGGAGACACCACAGAGAGAAACCAGAGAGAGACCAGAGAGTCCAGAGACCAGAGAGAGAGATCACAGAGAGACCAGAGAGCAAGACCACAGAGAGACCATAGAGAGAAACCAGAGTAAGACCTCAGAGAGACCAGAGAGATCACAGAGAGACCAGAGAGTGAGATCACCCAGAGACCAGAGAGCAAGATCACAGAGAGACCATAGAGAGAAACCAGAGTGAGATCACACAGAGACCAGAGAGAGACCAGAGAGGCCAGAGACCAGAGAGTGAGCGGGACCAGAGAAAGAGAGAGAGACCAGTAAGAGAATCCTCTGAATTAATCACTGCAGTGCACACAAGCCACAAAAGTTTCCTTCGGACTTTAAATAAAGTTATCGGTCATGTTGCACTAGCGGTTACATGGTGTTGTACAAGACGTTGATGGAACATACATGTGACGCATGGAGAAGCACACCGTAAGAGGCAGCGAAAGGTGAGCCGTGTTAAAGCGAGAGACCACTGTATATTGTACTCACTGCTCCTGTGGCTCTCTCCCTTGATTTTGAATGTATGGATCCCTGCGCTGAATCACTGGATGCAGAGTTCCTTGGGTCCAGGTGGAGTTCAGAGGAGCCAGAGGAGGAGGAGAGGGCTGGAGACTGGGCCCTGCTGTCCTGAGAGCTGCTGTGGGATGGACCTGGAGATGGATGGGCCTGGATCTGCAGCTGGTTAAACAGACTCTGGATCTCGCCTTCGTGACTGGAGCCGTTTCCTGGTTTCCTAGGTTGAGTTTGGTCAGTTTGGTCACTGAGTTGAAAGAATGGAAAGATGGTTAATTGATCCACTGTCGATGAAATTCAGGAATTTTTTTGACCTTCCATTGTGTTAATAATGCATTGGTGTTATGCTTCTTTCTCTTCAAACACGGTGGTGATAAACTATTACTGTTGTTTATGACAGGCCCTGCCCTGTTTAGCTTCAGAGGTCTAACAGGATCTGGCTTTCACATGCAAGTATAGCCACATGTTACAACAGTGTTCTCTCATTCGATTGGTAATATATTTCATCATCATCAAACTTTGGTATAGACTCGTGGTCCAGGATAAGACAAACAACTCACACGTACATTTTGGTCTGTCCCAATTTACAGATATGGGGACAAATCAGGCCACATCTTTTAAAATAGAACAAAAGAAATCTTCTTCCATTCTTATTATTGTTGTGTACAAGCCGCCACAGTCATGCCATAGTTTCACTGATCATTTCACTGAGTTGCTTTCAGTTGTGTGCACAGATTTTGATGGTTTAGTCATTATAGGCGATTTTAATATTCATGTGGATAATGTTAATGACAGATACGCAAAAGAGCTGAGTTCCATACTTGAATCCTTTGGCCTCACTCAGCATGTGAGTGGCCCCACCCATAGCAGAGGACACACCCTGGACCTGCTTATCACGAAAGGGGTGAATATTTCAAAAGTTAATGTAGTTGATGTTGCTCTGTCGGATCATTTCCTGTGTATTTTTTAACATGTATTTTGCTACCAGACCACCCGCTAAATATGAAATTGTTAGAAGTAGACACTTAAATGAAAACACGGGTGAACTATTTATGGGAATGATCCATTTTGAGAACACATCATGTTCTACTGTAGATGAACTGTTTAACTCTGTCACCTCTAGTGTGTTGAATGTTCTGGACGCCATTGCCCCTGTGAAGGTAAAAATGGTCACAAATAAGCAAAAAGCCCCATGGATAAAAGCAGGCCCGGTCAGGGCACAGAAGCAAGAGTGCCGGAGAGCAGAGAGAAAGTGGAGAAAGTCCAACCTCCAGGGTGATTATAAACTCTTAAAAGAGAAGTTGTGTGAGTTTAACAGAGTACTACGTAGAACAAGAGAATTATACTTTTCTGAAACTATTGAAGGCTGCAGCAATAATCTGCGTGTTCTATTTTCAACAATCAATAGATTAACGAACCCCCCTGTTGAGTTGCCATTAGAACACTACTCCAAATCCAGGTGTAATGAGTTTGCACAGTTCTTCAGAGACAAGGTTCAGGGTATCAGAAATACCATCACCTCCACAACACAAGTAACAATGCAACATCCAGTGAGGCTTTGTGAGCTAGCTCAATTTGCACCTGTCAATGATGAAACTGTTAAAAAGATAATCACAGGTCTTAGTTCCTCTACCTGCAGTCTGGATGTACTACCTCCTAGATTCCTGAAGTCTGTTATGTGTAGTCTATTACCCTCATTGACACAAATAGTAAACATGTCTTTTTTATCTGGAACATTTCCAATGGCCCTGAAAAAGGCAGTCATCAGGCCCCTCCTAAAAAAGAGCAGTTTGGATGCTGCGGTACTTGAAAATTACCGTCCCATCTCAAATCTGCCATTCATGGGAAAAATTCTTGAAAAAGTTGCCTACCAACAACTTACTGAATTTTTAATATCTAATGACTCATTTGACATGTTTCAGTCTGGCTTTAGACCACACCACAGTACTGAGACCGCTCTAGTCAAGGTAACAAATGATATTCGGCTTAACACTGATGCAGGAAAAGTCTCTGTTTTAGTCATGTTAGATCTGAGTGCCGCTTTCGACACCGTTGACCATGAGATTCTCATGCAGAGACTGGAGGACTGGGTTGGTGTTGCTGGTACTGCCCTAAGCTGGTTTAGGTCCTATCTAGAAGAAAGGAAGTATTGTGTGGAGATTGGAGACTATGTCTCAGATAATATGGCCCTGACCTGCGGAGTGCCACAGGGGTCGATTCTGGGACCTCTCCTGTTCAATATTTACATGCTGCCATTAGGTCAGTTAATTCAAAGTATGAAAGTGTCCTACCACAATTACGCTGATGACACTCAGATCTATGTCTCACTGACTGCAGGAGAGCATGGACCGGTGGACTCACTCCTTCACTGTATCCAGCGGATCAGTGAGTGGATGCAATGCAATTTTCTCCAGCTAAATGCGGACAAAACCGAAATGATTGTCTTTGGTCCCGAGAAACAAAGAGAGACCGTCATTTGTCACCTTCAGTCTCTCTCCCTAAGGCCTTTAAATAAGGTCAGAAATCTGGGAGTAATAATGGACTCTGACTTAAACTTCAATAGCCACATTGGATCGGTAACATCAGCAGCTTTTTATCATCTGAAAAATATTGCCAAAATTAAAAATATTGTGTCCAGGGCAGACTTGGAGATTCTTATCCATTCTTTTGTTTCCAGTAGGCTGGATTACTGCAATGGCCTGCTCACAGGTATCTCCAAACATGCAGTAAAACAGCTGCAGTATATTCAAAATGCTGCAGCCCGAGTCCTGACTAGAACCAGGAAGTACGACCACATTAGTCCGGTCCTCAGGTCTCTGCACTGGCTTCCCGTGGCCCAGAGGATAGACTTTAAATAGCAATGCAAGACTCAGTGGAAACGCTGTGGTGAAAAGAGGTCGCTGTCTTACTCACTTTAGTTCATTTGATTCTGAGCAGCTAAATAATCAGAATATATAGCTACCACCACTATCAATAAACATATTTTTATTCATAGAATCCATAAATGTGTGTATTGTTCTGATATTCCGTTTATTTCCTGAGATATGAATTAATAAAGTTGACGAATATGAGGCAGAGTGGGCAACAGATAGTCTGGACTCTGAAAAAAAATGAGTCGGGATATCCTCGGCATTCCGCGCGGGTTAATGACGTCGCCGCGAGGTGATATTTACCGGGTAAACAGATCACTTATTACTGCGCATTACGGTGAAAGCGGCATCTCTCCAGCTGTTGCGGTTACGGAGATATAATCCGACGAACTTAATAGCAAAATACACGGTAAGTAACCGGGATTTTGGAAAACCAACACCACACACATACATCTAAGATTATAAGCTTTAGAATGATGGTATATTTGAATCATGTCACGGTTGTTTTGACCCGCGGATCAGTGAATAAAGTTGAAAAACCGCCGCGCTCATCACACACTCTGCTCTGCTGCCGAAGCGGCACGCAAGTCCGGGCGAGTCCACTTTTCCGGGGGGTAGAAACGCGAGTCACGTGGCCCAAACGGACCAATGCCATTGGTTGGACTAATCCATTTTACATGTTAACAAGGGTGTTTGGGTTGTTAACATGTTTAAAGCTCGGGTCTGTAACTTTAGTCTCATAAATAACATGCTTAAAGCTGAGGTCTGTAACTTTAGACTCGTAAATAACACATTTTTAAAGTTGAGGTCTGTAACTTTAGTCTGATAAATAACATGTTTAAAGTTGAGGTCTGTAACTTTAGTCTCATAAATAACACATGTTTAAAGCTGGGGTCTGTAACTTTAGTCTCATTAATAACATGTTTAAAGCTCGGGTCTGTAACTTTAGTCTCATAAATAACACATGTTTAAAGCTGAGGTCTGTAACTTTAGTCTCATAAATAACACGTGTGTGTGTGTGCATATGCCAAAAACATTTCTAAGCATCATATTTAGATTGCTCCATCAATTACCTTTATTTTGATATATTACATAGTAGTTTGAAAAATTTTTTTTCCGGATTTCCTGTTGGCAGCCATCTTGGATAAGCTGGCGGCCATATTGGAATCGGGGTCGGCCAAATTGTAAAATGAATATCGAATTCAACATCCCTGAATTGTTTCCTTCTTTACTGTGAATTTTAATGTTTATAGTTAGTAAAATAGGGAAGTTACAGCACTTAGAAGATGAATAAAGGCTTGAACTGGCTGAATAGAAGGTTCCACAGTATCCCTTTGTTTTAAACCAAATTACTTTCACTATAAGCGCCTAAAAGCACTTATCAATATGGTAATAAAATCATAACCACTTATCCGATTTTCATAATTCAAAAACTGTTTTATTCCTCTTACTGAGCTGGAAAGTACTGTGCTGAATTAAATCTGATTTGGTAATTTAAAAATTGTAATCTTGCATTGCTACTTTAAAGCAGCTCTCCTGGTGTACAAGTCTCTCCATGGCCTTGCACCAAAGTACATCCATGATATGCTAGTCCCATATGAACCAGCCCGGACTCTGAGGAGCACAGGGACAGGACTCTTGTTAGTGCCCAGAGTCAGGACTAGACAGGGGGAGGCTGCTTTTCAGATCTATGCAGCTAAAGTATGGAACAGTCTTCCTGAGGATGTGAGACTGGCTGCCTCTCTGTCAATGTTCAAATCCATGTTAAAGACTTTTCTTTTTTCCTGTGCATACAACTAGAGAATTTTATCTTTTTAACACACCTTGTTATTTATTGTTGTAACTTTTTGTGTTTTTTACTATTTTATTGTTTTTAATTACTTGTGTGATTCTTATGTTTTTAAATTACTTATGTGATTTTAATGCTTTTTAATTACATATGTGTTTTTAATTGTATTTTAATGGTGATGATTTGTGCATTGTGTGGTGTGGACTGTGAGGCGCTTTGTGTTGCCCTGTGCAGGAAAAGCGCCCTATAAATAAAGATTGATTGATTGATTGATCTTATCGAACAAACACAGAGAGCTGATTGGCTGAGTGAGGTTGGTCCTCTCTTTTTTTTCCCATTACTCCCCCAGCTTTAAGTAATGGTTTTTCCCTGTTTGAAGCTTGAGTAATTATATGTAAAAGAGAATTATGTCTCGTGTATATTTAAGGCTTACAAGGTTATTTTAATAGGACAAATGAATAGGAAACTAAGCAGTACTAGCTTCTTTACACTCTTGGCTTGAAGCTTGAGTACATGACAGTTGATTTAAGAATAGCACAGTATAATTGACTGTATAACAAGCCTATATTTCTTATTTCACGTGTGTAAATTTGAAATATTGATGCACTGTACATGTTTGTAATGGCTGTTGATGATTACCTTTGAACAGAAGTTAAAGGTGTATCAGGATCATTTCCATTCGATGCCTTTAGTCGGCCATGGACCTCTTCGAGTTTCTGCCTCAGCTGCTGGTTCTCCTGCTCCAGGCTGCTCAGCGACAGGATGTAACTGTCCCTCAGAGCTCCCAGCGCCGGCTCTGCTCTCTGAAGACCAGAAATGTTACACAGATATCGCTCAGTGTTTGTAAAAGTGTTTTGAACCTTGGGTGAATGAGAATCCTGACGCTGGAGCAGACTTTTCAGATGTTGGTTCTCGTCTCTCAGAGAGTCCAGTTGAGCCTGAGTTATCTGAGGAAAATCACACAAGCAGCATATGGGAATAGTAAGTAAGTAAATGAAAAAAATCAAACGTTATTGAGGTTCAGAAGGCTCGGTCCTTATGAACCCTGAGGACCGAGCCTTCTGAACCTTGTTTATTTTTATCTTTTTTCTGTTTCTTACAGTCTTTGACTTTTACTATACATTATTATTATTATTATTATTATTATTATTATTATTATTAACAAGGGAATCCCCATTGAGAAAGTAACCATGTTTTGAAATGAGAAGGGTTTCCTACTTTGAGCTCGGCGTTCCTCTGCTCGGCTCGCTGCTGCTCCCCTCTGAGCTGCTCCCGGACGTTGCCCACGGAGCTGCGGTGCGAGGAGATGGTGCGTTCCCTCAGGTGGAGCTCGCTGGTCAGTTTGGAGACCTCCCGCCTCATGCCCTCCACCTCCCCACAGTGTGTCTGCTGAGCGCGCTGCAGCTCCTGCCGCAGCTACAACAACAACACACTTATGTCTAAACAACGCATTTGTATAATGTGACTGTAACAATGTACACTATGTTTTTAATTGTGTCAAAAGCTCTTTTAAGGACAGAAACTACCCTTGGCTATAAATGTAAGTAATCTTTATTTATATAGCGCCTTTCACAGACCAGTCACAAAGCGCTTTACAATTGTTGTGGGCATTTGTCTCTCACTCCACACAGAGATGGGAGCGAGGTCGCCGTACAGGAGGTGCACACCAGACCATTACATGTGGTTGGGGAAAGCAGAGGAAACCGACTCAGACACGGGGGGAGAATATGCCAGGAACCCAGGACTTTCTTACTGGGAAGCGAAGGTGCTATCCACTCAGCCACCGTGCCCATGTTGCCAAATGTTGTAGTGTTTCCCATAATAAACACTAAATACATTAAAGGAGACATACTGTACTATGCAATATCATCTTTGAATTTTAAACCTGTTTCAACATTGTTCCCTCATCAAGCTTTGTTTTATTTTTTTAGATAGATAGAGACACATATATTTTATTGATCCCATTAGGAGAATTTCAGGTGTCCAGCAGCAGAACCGTAGCCATCCATACAAACAAATACATATTTTATAACGTTTCTAACTAACTAACAATAGTGCACATGTTCAGCTGTTAAAGACAGATCTGTTACAAAGTCTTATAGTCAAAGGAACGAATTATCTCTTAAAGCATTCCATCCAATCCAATACTAGAAACTTCTTGCACATCTCTTTGCACCCCTTTTTGTCTAAAACTAAATCTAAACCTGGATCTAAACAAGGAATCCATACAATATTTAGTCATGGTCAGAGCTTTTCAAAACTAAAGTATTTCCCTGCATGCATGGCTTCAATTGCAGCAAGCAATGTTTGATGTTGACTCAAGATAAAAGTGACAAAAAAAGCAAGCACCTTTTTCATCTCTGCGGTGCACGTCTCATATTCAGCCTTGATTTTCTTCAGTTCTTGCTCCGTCTTTGATTGGTCCTCTCTCCCTCGGCTCACGGTCTCCAATCTAAGAAGAAGAGCAGTGTTATTATTATTAAAGGTTCTGTATTGATTGGGTGACATCTTTTTTGTTATTATCATTTTACTAAACAAAGATATATAGAAAAATGTGTGAAGTTCATAGCTGTTATATTAGTCTCATATAAAAATAAAACATAGAGAAAGTCTTTACTTCTCTCTGAGACATGAAAGCTCGGCCCTGAGCTCAGCCTCACTGGTCTGAGCGGACTGCAGTCTCGTTGTGGTCTTCTCCAGGTCCTGCCTCACAGCCTCCACTCCAGCGTTGCCCTGAGTCGCCAGACAGTCCTCCAGAGAACTGTGGAGCATTTATCAAATACTTTACACATAATCAATCAATTCTCTTATTTACAAATCTTCATACTATAGTCATACACTGTCCAGTTCATTCCAGATGTTTAGGCCTGTACATGTGAAAGCTGGTGCATTTGAGTTTGCGGGGTTTGTCCAGCAGCCAGTGTTTCCTTCTATTGTTGTTATGTGTGTGTGTTAAAGAGGTGATAGGAACGAGCTGACAGAGCCCAAACTTTTCATTTACAAACGTCAAACGAGAAAAAAAAATCTAACAATTCAAATCATCATTGGCCACAGGACAAGGAAATTAACCAGTGTTCACTATCTGAGAGAGCAGTGAAGAATTGACATGGTAATCTGGTGTGTATTCTAACGATTACAATGATATGGTCCCATTGTAATACTAGAAAAGCACAAAACAGATTTTTGGTTTCTACAAGTGGTTGATTTTCTTGTAAAGCACTTTGGTCACCTTGAGTGTTGTAAGGGGCTCCATAAATAAAATGTGATTGCTTTCAAGTGAGCAAAACGTAAAGTTTGACCGAGGACGAAGAAGAAAACTGGAGGTTACTGCCACAACACAACTGTTACAAGATTTACCGTCAGATGAAATGTCAGTTATTGAAATGAACCATTCATTGCAAAGAGGGATTTAGAGATGACGACCCTGATGTTTAGAAATTGAATAACAATATTTGTATTTTTCATGTACACGAATATTTACAGTCTATGGTACACATTCAGGCTATAATCAAGATCCAATGCTGGTGCTTCTGAGCTGTGAATATGGCTGTGAAGGTAAACTGTGCCCCCTTGTGTGTCACTCAGGTACTGCACCTAAAGCACATGTCAAACAGTCCAGAGACCATTCTTAGGGGCCCCTAAAATCATTTTCAATTATTAACATTAATTTGTAGCATTGATGCTAAAAGGTTAGTTTTGTGCTACAATTTTCTCGAGAACATAACATTTCAGTTAATCTTTAAGATAAATAATCATTGGGCAATCAATTTACAGTTTTGCCCAGTTCTTGGTAATTCCAAACATGCCACCTGCATGAGGGATCCAGATCCTGCCAGACCTATGCAGCTAAGCAGGGCAGGGCCTGGCTAGTATTGTGATGGGAATGTCCTTAGGCAAAACATTTCACACAGATTGCCAACAGAGTGGCTGAATTTAGATGGTACATAATGGTTGCCTTGCTTCTCTCGGTGTGCCCCAGGTCAGCTGTAGCTACATTATTATTAGTTTATCACCACTTTGCATTAGACTGAATGAATAACATATATATAAAACTGAAAAATTATTATCATTTTGATTTGTTCTATTCTATTGAGATATTTGCTATTTTATAATCCACAGTTTTACCTTTTTTTATTTGCTGTAAAAGTTCTCCAACAAGATGTTGTCATTTTGACTAATAGTGATTTCTGCTCTAGACTTACAGCTCAGTTCTAAAATACAGCAATTCTTAAAAGTAGTAATGTTGTTTATTGTCAGTGTATTTAGTGAACTTTTTTTACAATAGGTAATTATTTAAAAGTAATTCACAATAATGGATCATCAATGTCATTAATTAACTTGGTGTGTACATTGAATAAACAATTATTTTTAAAGCATTTATTTTTTGAATCACCTTAATTAATTAAATCAAATCAATTAATTTGCAACATTTACATTTAAAGATGATGCATTTCTCTAATAACAAATATTGTGATAAATTATAAAATTTTAACATATTGTGATAAAAGATCAAATAATTCAGTTACATTTAAAATGTATTCGGACTGTAATAAAAACAATAAAATCACGATGAAATTAGTTAGTAGTTATAAATATGGTAAAAATAGTACAATTTTAGTTAAAAAGTATTCAGTCATAATTTAATAGGTAATTACATGTAAGTAAGTAATGTTTATTAATGTAACTTGTTTTTTTGACCTGATGCTGCAACTGCCACCACTGCTACATTTGCTAATACTAATAGAATAAAAAGCGTCCTTGTGTTCATTAGTTTTTTAGTGGTTAAAGGAGTGGACAGCCTCTCACCGTATGACCTGGTCCTTCGCCTGCAGCCGCTGGTTCAGTCTCTCAGCCTCAGTCCGAAGCCTCTGCCGCTCCACACCAGCTCTACGGACAAATGAGTCCTGGGAGTCCAGCGAGGCGTGGAGCTCATCCCTCTCTTCTGCGAGAACCTGTGGAAAGTATAAGAAATAAGAAAATCATGAATAATAATATCCTGCAGTGGGAAACGTCAGCGCAGCATCACAAAGTTCAAGGACGAGGAGTTCAAGAAGTAGGAATATAAGAAGCTCTCAAAGACAAGATAAAGGATTTGAATGAAGTCATAAAATACTATAGGGGTGAAAAGGATCATGTATATCTATGTGTTTATGTAAGTGTGTATGTATGCATGTATGTTCAAGGTGTGTATTTGAAAAGTCAACCAACTGAATCTTCTATAAACCTGAACAAAAAATACTGCTCTAAAGAGATTCTCTGTGTCCCCTGAGGCTCATTATGACATATTTAGTACATCATCTTCTCCATTTTGATCTAAAATACTAAGGATAGACCAGGACTCACAGGGAATGCTCAGATCATAGTTAGCGATCAACAGGTTTTTAATCCTATGAGCAAATGTGCAACGTAAACGTAAACTTTTTGTGTGTTATGTCCCCTAAAGAATATTGAGAAAATACATTTAAAATCTGGAGATTCTCAATATTGTTTAGCTCAAGAAATTAGGTAGAACATTCAGAAATATTTAACGTTATCATCCAACGTAGAGGAAAATTATTTTTAATCCACCATAACACAGATGACACTATATAATAATTTGAAATATGGCTGCAGATACTATGACTAAAGTAGTCAGTGACCCAACCACTTTTAACAATCAAATAAAAAGTCATTTCATCTCATTCATTCACACCATCCTCTCTCACACGCTGACCTTTGTCTCCCTCTGGTACTGCCCCAACCACACCTCTAGGGGGCGCAGTCGCTCCAGCTCAAGTTCTTGTGAATGAAGGCTGTCCTGTGTCTTCTCCAGCTGCAACCGAACATTCTGCAGCTTTGAGCAACATTCTCTGTGCTCCCGCTCCTTCGGCAACGCCCACTGGGCCTAAAATACAAAGTTTAATGTTATTACTATTCCATACAACGTAAAGGAGTAAGATGCAGTTATAAAATGTTCTTCTACCATTTAAGATGTTTCCCTATAAGTTTTAATGAGCAGTGAACCAGCTTTTGAACATATTGATTTGAGACTAATTTATTTAACAAGGAGACATTAGCACTTACTTTCAGAAGGGAGATTTCTTGGCTCAGGTTCTGGTTCTGTGTCTCCAATGTGCCAAGTTGTTTTTGGTACTGGACGCACTGTTGTTCCCAGTCCATGGAGCGCCTCTGATTCTCCTGTAGAATCAGAACAAGAATACTAAAATACATCAATTCAGTTTCTTAATACATACACAGTGGCAGGGCCGCTCCAGGTTTGGTCAAGTCTGCAGCCTGTAAACAACTTTTTATATAGACTTGAAACAAAGAAATAATTCAGTAACTGTAGATTCATTAAAAAAGCATTCAAATCTGTTTTATTATATATTTTTTTGAAACACACACATAGGGACCAAATTATCTTCAATATTTTCTAATCAAATTCAATTCTAAAGCAGTGTTCCCACATTGCAGCGTATTATCTGGTAACCGGGCAACACTAGTTGGAACACTTGTGTCAGCTCGAAATTTAGATTATCTTAAAGGTTCTCTTATCTTATCTTAGAACCAGGACCAAGAAGGACTAAAGAAGGACCTGGTACCGCTTAAACAGAGTTGGTGGAAACAGTATCAATCAGGGTAGAGTAGAGTAGAGTAAGGTCAAAGTAGTGTTGGTGGAAACGGGGCTATGGTTTAATTTGTGTGGCTTGAAAATTAGGTACCCCAGCTTTATTAGGGGAGGACTTCATACCTCGATCTTCTCCTTGAGCCGCGACACTTCGGAATGGTCCTGCTTCCCATGTTTGCGCTGGAGCTTCTGGTAACTTCTTTTCAACTTGTTTAACTATAGAAATATAAATTGTTACTGAATTTACAGACAGTGTAGTTGTCCATCCCCCCAGTTTATTTACCTCGTCACAAACTTTATGGAGCTGATGTTCATACTTTGAAATAAGTTCAGCCTTTATGGATTCTTGCTGCTTCTGAAGAACTGAGATCTGTTGTTAATTATAGAAGATTTATTATAATGCAAAAGCTTTCTTAAAGAGCAGGGGTGCCCAAACTTTAGCTGAATCAAGAGCTGTATATTCAATTCAATTCAGTGTATTTTTGTATAGCCCTAAATCACAACAGTAGTTAGGAGGTGTAGTGTCAATTCACCAACACAGATCAGAGAATTAACTTAAGTTTAAACAAGAAATGGAAAGAAACACAAATAGCCATTGGTCCATAAGGGGCAAAGAATAACTCTAAAAACCCTTTGGGAGAAAAGTGATAAAGTATATATATTCAAAATAAACCTAGACTGGGGGGGGGGGGGGGGGTATAATTTACGCTGTTTATAAGATCTTCTCTATTTTAATAACTTTCCAATCTAATGTGGGCTACTTTACTATTTATTCAGATAAGTCATAGCGTGGACACCCCTGGCTATGACAATAATCACTATTTTATAAAGATATGGTTAAACCTCTAAGTCCTTCCTCTGTAAAATCTCTTTGGAGGTGGACAGTTCCTCCTGGACAGTCTTCAGCTGGGTCTGTGTGCTCTGGATCTCTGTCTCCCACACGGTCCTCTGCTGACCGATCATTATGTCAATCTGACGCATCAACTCCTGCAGCTCAGGCTCACAGGACGAAAGCACCAAGCTGAAAGGTAAAGTTTGGGTTTAAAAATGAGCATATGAGGGACTGAACTGCAACTAATGGAATAAAAGCCACAAAACATTGTTTTCATATGCTTGTGCTTTTGGCCACTGTCATATCTACTCCACCTCTGCTGCTGTGACCTTAAGTGCTGTTGCATTATATTAGCATTGTTAGCTACTTTTAGAATTATGTATTTATGTGTGTATTTGTATGGATGGATGGATATGTTTCTGCTGCTACTGGACACCTGCATTTCTCCCACAGGGATAAAAATAAATAATAAATTCCTTTTTTAGCACCTGCTTGTCCCTGGTTCTATCCAGGCCGAGCTGGTAATAAAGTGTAGCTGCAACGTGAACTGACAGAGATTGGAAATACCTTCCTTTTCTGCTTTTAAAGCTTCTGATCTGAAAACCTATTTGGCCTCTATTGAAAATGTAAAACTAAAAAATAAGAAATTAAGATAAAACAATCACATTGATAAAAACATTTTAAGTATTAGTCGATTAGCAGACACCTGTATGTAATGTATGTATGTATGTATATGTATATTTATTTTATTTTATTTGATCAAAATTAGTATATGAATGTGCATTTCGTGTCTTTACAGTGTTGAGAAATGTACTTGTCTTTTGCACACTTTGATTGAATTAAAAAAAGAGTGCAGCTGGAAGGATACTGCTTTGTTTTCTTTTCGGTTGCTATGATACAGTACCAGATCCTAAATCGTGTGTATGTGTTTGTGTGCGTGTGCATGTATGTGTAAATAAGATTAAGATCCTTTCTTCGTCCCACAGTAGGGAAATGTCAGTGTTGCTGAACTATGTACTATTCTGTATTTCTCAGTCAGAATGAACAAAAGAAAAAGACTGGAACATACCTCAAGTCAGGGTTTTTGGATCCAAATGTCTCCATCTTACAAAGTAGTGTTAGCTTCAGTATTTCACCTCAAGACAACAACAAAGAGGCATCAACCAACTGTAGAAACAAGAGCTAAAATTAAGAAGGCAGCAAGAGGAAAGGTGAATGACAGTGAAGAATAAATGGTTTACAAGTAGAAAGTGAGGCTTACGCACAGTACAGGTAAAGTTACATTCTTGAGCGACACATCGAGCCCGCTACATACTGTAAATAACTAACTAACTAACTTCAAAACACAAAACTCGTGTGAAGTATTTCCTGATTTGTGGCGGTAACTCCTCCCACAATGCTGACCTCATCACGCTGTACGTATTGTGAAGAGGCAGCTTTTGCAGATGGACTCCATTCAACACTGCGACGTTGCGTCTGGAACCTGGAAGCGAATCTGTGCACACTACAACCCTCACATTCAACTATATAACACGATGGTAGCTGTATAACGCATATCCATGTACTCTCATCTGTTCTTCAAAACCGTGCAGATATTGTGTTAAGGCTGTATACGACGTTTTTCATCATATAGGACACGTGGCTCGTTGGTCTAGGGGTATGATTCTCGCTTCGGGTGCGAGAGGTCCCGGGTTCAAATCCCGGACGAGCCCATTTTTTTTTTTTATTTGTAAATGAATTTGATTATTTTTCAAAAGCAAATGTATACATACGATCAACGCGATATCATTGTCATAATAACGCTGCGTCATTTATTGAACATGTCTATGGCAACATTGTGATATATGTTTTATCACTTCGAGCATTATGTCAGCTGTGGTGACAATCGATCCGTTCATTAAAACCGTTCAAATAATTCAGTTGATCGCATTATATCACAGGTATTTATATATTACTACCGAATGTACACAGTGTGGCTCGTTGGTCTAGGGGTATGATTCTCGCTTTGGGTGCGAGAGGTCCCGGGTTCAAATCCCGGACGAGCCCAAGCTTTTTTGTTTTTTTTAGTACATTAGAACACTTGTATATACATATACATGATGTCAGTGGAGTCGTTTAAACATCCTGTTAACGTGTAGTATTCACGTTATTATTTCAACATTTTTTAGGCTTTCCGTCCCGAGCCCAGATCAATCCCAGACACGATCAATAGTAGCAATGACCCAAAAGCATTTCCTGCTGTCTCTAATCCCATACTTCCCATGTCCATCTCCCCACCTGCTCTGTCTGTCAGACCGAACAAAGAGCCTTCCCTGCGGCTCTCCAGCTGTTGCGGGGGCAGTGTGTCTGGACAGTCTTCTCTATATGGTCTGGAGAGGACAGGACATAGGCTGCATAATATAGTTGATGGATTGTGAATTACTGTGCTGAAGATAATATCAGTGTGAACTGAAAGTAAGAAGGAAGCGGTTTTGGAAAAGTCTCCAAATTCCCGCTTGTGGTGTTTGTCAGCGGCAGCTCATATTGGCTTCTTTCGGGAAAAGCCCTGACTTCGCTCCCGGTTAGTCCACTCCCAGTGTGTGGGGTTGTACCGGTTCGTCCCGCCCCCTCAGGCATAGCGCAGACTCGGGTTGACAGGAGGCAGATGCTATTCACACAGGAGCAGGAATACAACGCTTCTCTGGAACCTCTTTTTATGTAAGTAATTTTCACTCACACTTGTATTCTCGAGTCTGTATATTTGTTTATTTTGTTTTGTTTAAACTCATATTCCCATGTTGTGTTTCATTTACTGTTTGTAAAAGTATCTTGATGGATGCTTGTTCTGACTTTTTCACTTTCAATTTTATTTCTAGACTTCCTTTTAGTTTTTAGTTTTTTTTGCCCAACTTACTATTACAAGTATTTGTTATAGTCTACAGTTTTTGTTTTACATTCTATTTTTTGCATCTGAGCGCTTGCAACCTACTAATTTCCCTTGTCGATCAATAAAATCTAATGTTTCCTAGGTGTAACATAGCCAATATTATTGATCAGTGTTTCCTGTTATTCTATGTAGAGGAACTATATTTATATACTGATGATCTATACTAAATGATACAACATTAATAACCTATTTGTTCATCGTCCCATTTACTTGTATTGTATTGTATTGTAATGTTTCGACTCACAAAGTTGAGTGACATCTAATAAGGACGGGAGACGAGATAAAAATGAATGAGGCCACATGTCATTATGGTTTGTCTGGATCTGTTAAGCCTTTTAAGCAGCAGCTGTCATTGGATTCTTTGTTTGGTTGTCTGCAGACTGCAAATATTTAGAGCTATGTGTATAAACACTTAAATCATATTTTGTTTATTACAGAGAGGAGCTTCCTTGCATCTGAGAACTTCAACTTTCTACAAACGTTCCTCCTCAACACCATCTTGTGCCAAACAGAATAGATTTTTCACATGGTCAATTTTCATTATTTCATTTTGGATAATTTTTTTTATTGCACTTTTGAGTAATTGCCTGAGCATGACCGTTTCTTAGCCATAAAAGGAAGACAGATTTAAGGCACTCCATCAAAGTCATTTAAAAACAATAACATTTGCTTTTGAGCAAATATCAACGCTAAAAGAATAACATTAATTCATCCTCCCCTGAGAAGTTTTAGTAATCGTTTGATAGATATAACATCTAGTTTAAAGCTTTGATGCCATGCCAAGTCTCATAATTTTGTACTCTGGTATAAAGTCTAACTTATAGCCCAAAATGGTCAAAGTCTACATTAATTACACCATAATTTACACCACATTTTTACAACACTCCAAAATGTAAAAAAAAAAAACACAGAAAAGCAGATACAGACATACTAACAAAGATTTTAGTCAAACAAAACACAGATATTGTATAGAAAAAAAAGAGAATTTTAAAATCATTATTGCGGCATTAGCATCTGAACGTTAGCATCACATTATACTACACCCCCACATCACATAATCACTCACATCATGGTTTTGTGCGAGGATACGGAGTGTAGCGTTTGCCTTTTGCCGTTCTCGCGTCTGGAGCGGATCCCTCGCCTGCTCCACTGCCGCCACACCTTCTGCCAGACCTGCCTGGAGACCCTCTCTCAGTCTCGAGGAGGACTTCTCACCATCTGCTGCCCCCTGTGCCGCCGGGTCACCTGCATCGGCAGAGGTCTGGGCCTTCACGGGGCTCTGTGGGTGGACAGCGGGGTGTGGGACCAGATCGTGGAGGAAGACGAGGAGGAAGACGAGGAGGAGAACCGGGCAAGGAACAGGTTGAGCTCGGTGGGATCTGCGCAGGCCAAGCAGGAGTCATCGTGGTGGGTCTAAACACACTATTTCTGCTTCTGGTGTTGACACTATCCGTAAGAGAGAGCGAGAGAGAGAGAGAGAGAGAGAGAGAGAGAGAGAGAGAGTGATGGGCTTTGAAAACTGCTCACATATGACCTCCTGATATATTTAGCTGCTGACCTATGATCTCTGAGTGTTAATGCTTAAACTTCCTAACTTTTCATGGTGCCCACACTTTCAAACCTTCAATTGGCTAAACAAAAGAAACAACCAAAACCTAATAATCATGTTTTATTTGAGGAGAGTATGATTGAAATTGTCCTTAAAGGTGATATCGGCATCTTAAATTGTTTTTCATTGTTAAAATAAATACATATCTAAAATAGTCCCTCCCCTTGCCATAGTTATGACCAGTGAGATTTGCTGGAGGAGAATACTTAAACCAATCCCAAGGATTGGTTCAAGGATTTGAATTGATGTCGACCAATCAGGAAGCTGCATTTAACTAGCACTTGTCTTTTTCTCAATTCAATTCATTTCGCAATTCATATACTTAACTAATTCCTATGATTTGCAAATGCTTTGTAAAAGAGAACTGCCAGGAAGCTGCATTAGCTTGTGAGCGAAAAATAGGACATGAAAAACTAATAAGAGGCAATTAAAACAAAAAATCCGTCTCTTATAATCCTAGACTCGTTTTCCTTTGTGTCTTTTGTGTCCCTTTCACAATTTGAAAGATAACTGACATTTACTTTGATGATCTCCTGGTATCTAACTTATAATGATGGTAATAATACATTATGTTTGAACTGACAGAACATACTCCAATTTCAGAAAATGCGACCACATGGCGCATTTGTTGTGAGTCACTTTTTGACACTGGGCTGAGTGAGGGTGGTCCTCTCTTTTTCACTTTTCTGTCTGAAAAAGCTGATCTAAAAATATATCTATACAAGCATGCATGTAAAAGCGTTTTATATTGTTTGTGGCTTGAAAGTTAAAGTCTCTAAAATATATTTCTTGACTCCGTGTTTCTTGGTGAAGGATCTACTTTTTTCTTGGGGTTATGTAAATGTTGTTGTTGCTTGTTCCACTGGTATTAAATGTCTCACGTACATTGTGTTTTAAGTAAATAATGTAAAGTTATTATCGTTCTGAGGTCCCAAGCCACGAAATCTTCACAGCAAGAAGCGGACTCCATCAGAAAATTATAATGAAGAGATCCGAGGAGCACACAGCACAAGATAAATGAACCATAACTCTAAACTAAAATTAAAATAAAATATGTTCTTGAACTTTAGCGTAAAAAGAACCTAGTATAAAATCTCTAGCTTTAGCATAATGAAGAAACAAGAATTAAGTACAAAATCTCTGACTTTAGCATGATAAAGAAGCAAGCAGAAAATACTATATATTAAATGTTTAAGTATTTGAGGGAAAATTCTCTGATGATTTGAAATCAAGTTTGAAAGACAAGTTCCCTAACCTGCATTTCCGAAATTAAAACACATACAATATATAAAGTAATTATTTGTTAGGGAGGTTTGTTTGTGAAAAGTACTTAACATTCTAGTTGCACTTAATACAAACCAGGATTAGGAATTCTCCAGATGCCACACTGATTCTGAACGGGGCTAAAACAGGAGCTAAACCGGGCTGTAAATCACTGTGCAGCCAGTATTGGTAGCTGTAGGTGTTGTCGCTGACAGATTTCATGCTCTGACTGTCAACAGGAGGCAATAAAAAAGAATTAGTTGAATCTGCAAACTAATGACATGTAGCTACTATGTCGCTATTAAGGAAGTGGAACAGATGTTACCATGAACCTCACTGCATCTGTCCTTTGGGGAAGCCAGATTTCTACTCCCAATTGTGGTGAGAGAAAGAGAGAGACAATTTGATTTAAAGCTCTATTTATAGACTGAATATAGATGGACAATGCTAACCCCCGGCTCAATGAAGCCCAACAGGGAAGTGCTCATGAATGAAGTTTTTCTCCAACTCGCTCTAACTCCTCTTGACTTACATTGATAAGTAAACTGCTCTAGCTCAGTAACCGTTTGTGTCAAACTCATTTTGGTCTCAAGTGATCTGTGGTTTTGCACTCTCTGTGATGTTTATAATTGGATATTGTTTCCAGATATGAGCCAAATAAGGATTGACCAATCAGCCTTCAGTCATGGGAATTTCCAGCTTGCCTTAGCAACTGTCTTAGCAACACGTTTGCCCCTGGTCCGGATACAAATGCCCATATAAGGAAATTGGCTCCAGCTATCTTAAGTTCAAATCAGTCTGCGGTGACAACAGCGTTTGTAGAATCAGACGTGACCAGTCTACTCCTAATTTACAGTCTACTTTAATACCATAATTTACTATGGTTCAGACTTTACTCTTGACAGGAAATCCCTCTTCTCATTGGTTAACCCATGTTCCTTCAGCCTGGAGGTGCTGCGGGTGATGACATATTGTTACTGGCATCACTTGTAAACACATTAGTCACAAGAGATGGGGTGGAGTGGATATGTCCATGTTGTGATAGCACAGTCAAAATACCACAGTATGACAGAATACTGAGGTGTGGTGTTTACAGTCGGCTTCTCAACAAGTACTACACTTGAATATTTGCACCACACCACTACTATTGACATAGTAACGTCCATAATTCACATATCTATGGTTAGCTTGGACTTTGGACCTCACAAATTGGACCGAAGACATCATGTTTAAAGGCAGAGATTAACCTTGGTCAAATCAATTGTGTCTGAACTACCTCTGGTTTTACTTCTCTGAAATGACGTACAGTTATCAAATATCCGTAAACTCATACTCTGCCTGATAAACTGAAAATAAACCTCCAGGTCAATTGTGTCCAGATCAATGCCTCGGCTCTCAATTTTCAACAACTGACCTACTGATAATGTTAAAAGACTAGATTGTAATGTAAGTATTGAAGAAATTGTACTTTTTTTAATGATTTAGAGCAGTTAGCATGTAGCAGTTCTCGATGTATGGCTCTCAAAGTGAAGGTAATGTTAGACTTGATGATGTCTGTAGGAAAACATGTGCTTTTAACCTCACAGGAGCAGAGGTCCCTACAGTCCAGCGCCCAGGGGACCTATCTCCCAGCTGTTAGTGCTTAGCCTCGTCATATTAAGCCTGGAGGGTCTGAGGACAGTGGTGATGATCCAGGACATTAAGAACTTTTATGGACATTGGTTATCCACCCCAATGGACCAATGGCTCCTCTGTGTTTGTTGCATTGTTGGATTCCCTGTCTGATTCTCGGATGTTTGCTCATCTGCAACTTTGCAAAGTCCTGCGAGATGAAAAAATGAATTGAGTTGTTTTGAATTATACATTATCATTCAGTACTTGCCACTGCCCAATAACCACAAACTTTTGTTTTGGTTACCAGCGATACAACGTGATTCACCTGGACTTTACTCATATACTTACTCCATATATCATTACTCAATATATACATTTATATTGGTAAAACTCTGGTTAATTGGTTAGAACAGCATTCAAAAGTCAATTATCTTCTTTAGTTCACCTTGACATGACTTATGTGAAACTATTATATGGCGGACTCATAAAGGGCAAAGTAAGTGATATCAAGCCTTTCTTTGTTTTTAATGTTTATAATTGCAAACAGGCAAACTCTACACAGACTGGAGTATGAGAACGAGAAATGTTTACCTTGAACCCATTCCCAGTTCAAACCAAATGTAAAAACACAGGGGAGAAATCTCCACTTGTGCGCAATCTTGCTTTAATGTAATCCTGTGATGTCGCATGGCACCTCTAACACAACTAATAAACAGTGTCATGTCTTCTGCAGCCTGTCGGGCAGATCCTCCAGGACTAAGCTGAAGTTTCCCGCCTTTTTGAAACGCTTCAGTTTGACGAGACAACATCAGGAGCAGATCGTTCCCGGCAGTAATGTGTAAGTTCTTCACTCCAATCTCCTCCAACCTCCTCCATCCTCCTCACTCAACGACACCTGAAAAACCATAAACGTGTAAAACCTGACCTGTCTTTTGTCCAATTTTTACGTTCGCAGGGAGATGAAATCCTGGAGGAGGCTTTCAACAGAAGACACGCTTTGACACCTTTTTGAAAGCCTTTTAAAGTGCATATGACAGGGGTAGACTATTCTCATGTTGACTTTTATGGCGGGGCAATTCCAGTTGTAAATACCAATAGTAGTTGTCAACTATCAGGCGGCAGTACGTGAAGAGATACAGTTGTTAGAAACATTATTACCCTTCGTGCAATATAGAATCCCTAATGTGGTGCCATATATTTACAATCAGGTAATATTATATATACTAATACTACACATAAGGAGTGGGCTGACGCAAAAAGCTTATGAGCACCCCCAAACTCACAATAAACATAAAATCACAATAAAAAATAGTACAGAAGCACACAAAGGCACAAAACAAACTACAGATGCACATCCTGGATCATAATCAACCATCAACAATTTAAACAGAATAAAGAATAGATCATACAATTATAGATTAGCCAGCGAGAGACCAGAAAGACACCAGAGATTCTCACTATCTTTCAGTAATCAATGTAGCGCAATTTGACCTCTGCATTTGACCCATCCTGCGGTGTTTGATGCTCAGCTAGGTTTGGACTGGTGTAAAATACTGATAATTTAAGTTTATAAGTCATATTTCTGAATATTTTTCCTCTCACTTGTCCAGTGGTTTCCTCATACAGGCATCCAGGGCTTGGAATAAACATACAAATGTCAGATAAAATACAAGGAGACAATTTGACAGGAATCTGAAATATACAAGTCAACCCAGTTTAACTCTCCTCTATAAGGAGGAATGGGCCAGAATTCCAGTCAGCTAACTATAAACAACCAATTCACAAACCAGTATGAAAATAAATTGTATTTCATTGTTAGAATAATACACATTACTGTAATACATTTAGTAAGGTTTTCTGGAGGAGAATAGTTCGACCAATAGTGAGGAGCCACAGCTGTCTATCAAGAATTTAAATAGTTCCATCCAGGAAGCAGTGGGGGCGGGTTTAACTGATGCATGCATTGGAAAAAACCTCTCTCCATCTTCACAATAGGAAAAAAGTAACTGACCTTTACTGTAAATCCTAGAAGGGAGGAATGGGCCAAAATTCCCACCAGCTAACTTATAATAAAAACAAATATCTCAGTGTACTTTAGTCAGATTTAATACAAGAGGAAGAAATGGCGATATGTACTGACACAGTGTATGTCTACTTTTTTGAGTGAACATTTATAGATGAACTTCTAGCAATTAGAAAAGTTTTCAACCTGTCGTATGCACTTAAAGGTTTTTATTTTTCTCTGTTTTATTGTATTTTGTTTTACGTCTTGAGCCTGGAGGAGCAGTGGAGCAGGACTGGCGGCCGTTATGCAGACCTTCCATTTGTTTAGCTGTCGGCAGAAGCCATTGTTCCTCGCCGAAGGTTTCCCCATTATTTATTCGGGGCTTAATTCTGCCAGCTGCTGCTCTGGGATTGAGTTCAGACGACTGCAGACCCCAGATGGTCTCCTGAGGACGCTCACAAATGAACTGTAATTATGACTCTCCCTGGATGAGAAACAATAGCGTGCGCAGTGTTTAATAAAAGTATTTTTCATTAAACCAGTGTCGGCGGCTGCACGTTTGTCACAGTTACGGGTCTTCGTTACCACAAGAGCAAAGGCAGGAATGGACTGGGTTGGTGTGAGGGAAAGTGGAAAGTACAAGACAGAAATGACAAAAGAAGCAGATTGAATGAGTTCCTAAATAATGCAAAATGTTTTATTTTGACAGTGTTAGGCAAGGCAAGTTTATTTGTATAGCACAGTTCATACACACGGCAACTCAAAGTGCTGAACAAAACAAGATGGAAACACAAGGCATTAAATAGAATATATATATAATCACAGTACATTAAAAATAGTCAAGATACAGTCCCTCAGTTGTTTGCACAGATAAAAAAAACTGTTTTAACCTGGATTTAACATTGTCAGAGAAGAAGCCTGTCTCACATTTTCAGGAAGACTGTTCCAGATTTTATGCTGCATGAATCTGAAACATACAGTAAGTACCACTGGGACCAGGGCGGTTTCGTTTTAATTCAATACTGGCATTCTCCCCATTTAAGAACCAGATACGTTACACTTGTTAAATACAATCAGAATTCACTCCTTATGAATATACTTACATGTTTGCAGTTCTTCACTTGTTTTATATAATTTATTTACAAGATTTATAAATATTTTAATTTTCATACGTCAAAACTTTCAAGCCCATAACTTTATCCAGATTTGAGAAGCTCAAAAGCAGCAATTTATATTTTTTGCTCAATTTTAAGGATGATCAGATGCTTGAAGTAAGAAATCTTTGATGTGAGATTATTTTGATATTTAAACTTAAAACCACTGTGGCAAAAAGTATTTATTTTTTTGATTCATATTTGTATATCCCTAAGTGACCACCGCACGTCGAAGGACTTTACAAAGTTGTCGATTTCTCAACAACAGAGAATCAAACACAGGAAGTACAATAATAACAAACACTGTCCATAAATGTCACCGTCATCATCAATGGCATAGAAACAACTCGAAAACCCAGTGTGAAAACTTAGGCATCAGGGAAAACTATTGGAAAAGCTTACATTTTTCTTTTTACCAAATAAGTTTCACCCATTCTTGTGCAAAAGTTTTGAAATGTACAACCAAAAACAATAGTAGCTTGAGAAATAGAAGGTTTTCACACATTTCACAAATCTGTTTTTGCAAAGGCTTTCTCCTCATCACACTTTTGCTTTATGAAAATCCCATAAATAATCCCATTTCTCCGCTGACAGTTTTAATTACATCAGCTCCATGTGGTCAGACACATCCCTGACGACCTAAGTCTAAACATCACAAAGCAAATATTACGTTTGTGTCTCGTACACACAGCAAACACGTCTCACAAAGGACTCACTCCGGCGCGAAAGCAGCTTAAAATCTATAGTCACCGAGCTTCACTGAGCATCTGCCCGATCTTCCACAAGCAAAATATTAAACCAGACTCTCTCTCTCTCCTCACTTTCAGAGGTTTTCTTTTGTGTCGCCATATGGTCCTTCAATAAAAAGAGGTCAGAGGAAGAAAGTGGTAGAAGTGTGCTGGTCAGTGGGAGGGGGCCGAGGCTGGGACGTCCCATTTGCATTAGGTCGCTCTGATTATACTCAAACAAAGAGCTTAGAATTGTTTAAAACATGTTACTATTGAGAGTTTAGTTTTGCTGAAGCTGGAGAACCTGTCTTTTAATGTACGCTTCTTCTTCTTCTTATGCTAAAGCTAAAGATTTTAAACTTAATTCTTGCTTCTTCATTATGCTAACGTTAGAGGTTTTATATTATTTGATTTCAGTTCATAGAGTTATTGTTAGTTTATCTTGTGTGGTCCTCACTTTTCTGTAACCACCACTTAAAATTAAAATCCAGCCTAGTCCTAGCTTTCAAAACAGTTTGGTTGTATTTTCTATTATCATCAATGAATTTAATCACGTGTAGCCCTAAATCAAAAGCAGTCGTCTCAAAGTTGTCGATTTGCCAACAACAGATCAGAGAATCGAACAGATCTAAGACAGGAAATGCAATAACAACAAAGACATAGGAGCATTTGATCCATTGGGGGTGGAATAGAATACATTAAAGACAGCATTTTGTGGTCTCATTTGTTGTTTTTTGTTTCTGTGGGGCTGAACAGTTAGAAAACAGGTTTTAAAAGTACCAACGGTTTTCAAACTATTGACTTGTTTGAGTATCATCTCTGCTCTGATCCAGCTGCAGTCTGGTGTCCGTTAGTCGACACACTGGTTTGGAGCAGAACCAGTCCGGACACGATCCCGTCCTGTAACTGTAACACACTAACACTGGTTTCAGGCCAAGGTTCCCATGTGTCAATAACTGAATAAAATGATCTCATGCTTTCTTATGGATCAATACTTTATCTAGTCACATTTATCCCAGAACCTCATGATGCTAACATGTACAGTAGTATCACATGCTGCTAACATGTACAGTAGTGTCTCATGATGCTAACATGTACAGTAGTATCACATGCTGCTAACATGTACAGTAGTATCACATGCTGCTAACATGTACAGTAGTATCACATGCTGCTAACATGTACAGTAGTATTACATGCTGCTAACATGTGCAGTAGTATCACATGCTGCTAACATGTACAGTAGTGTCACATGCTGCTAACATGTACAGTAGTGTCACATGCTGCTAACATGTGCAGTAGTATATCATGCTGCTAACATGTACAGTAGTGTCACATGCTGCTAACATGTACAGTAGTATCTCATGATGCTAACATGTACAGTAGTATCACATGCTGCTAACATGTACAGTAGTATCACATACTGCTAACATGTACAGCAGTATCACATGCTGCTAACATGTACAGTAGTATCTCATGATGCTAACATGTACAGTAGTATCACATGCTGCTAACATGTGCAGTAGTATCACATGATGCTAACATGTACAGTAGTATCACATGATGCTAACATGTACAGTAGTATCACATGCTGCTAACATGTACAGTAGTATCACATGATGCTAACATGTACAGTAGTATCACATACTGCTAACATGTACAGTAGTATCACATGATGCTAACATGTACAGTAGTATATCATGATGCTAACATGTACAGTAGTATCACATGATGCTAACATGTACAGTAGTATCACATGATGCTAACATGTACAGTAGTATCTCATGCTGCTAACATGTACAGTAGTATCACATGATGCTAACATGTACAGTAGTATATCATCCTGCTAACATGTGCAGTAGTATCACATGATGCTAACATGTACAGTAGTATCTCATGCTGCTAACATGTACAGTAGTATCTCATGCTGCTAACATGTACAGTAGTATCACATGCTGCTAACATGTGCAGTAGTATCTCATGATGCTAACATGTGCAGTAGTATCACATGCTGCTAACATGTTCAGTAGTATCACATGCTGCTAACATGTACAGTAGTATCACATGCTGCTAACATGTACAGTAGTATCACATGCTGCTAACAAGTGCAGTAGTAT